TGCATAGTTAATCTTGCATCCCGAAAAGACTCACAGAAGACTGCTGCTGAGTCACAACAGGTGGCAATATAATTTCCTTTAATTAATTAATAAGTAATAAACAATCAACAATAAATAATCAACAATAATAAATAAATGATAAATAAATAACAAATAAATAGCACTTTATTCCTTGCCAGAAACAGTCAGGAACAGCAGGATGCAGCTGGTCTATTCTCAATTCATAATTGGCAATTCATAAGTGGCATAATTGGTGGGGGAGCTAAACTGTCTGACCTGTTTTTGTCAACAAGCAAGGTATAAGGTGTGTTTTTGCAATGCTTGATAATGTGCAGTTATCTAATTTTGACACAGTAGGGTCACAACACAGCCATTTAAAATTCAGGCCTATACTCTTAACGTGATCTCAGAGCAGTCATATTTTGTTCCGCTTTGCTGTGGAGATCCTATGCAGCTCCTTGCATGAACCAATCTACTGCTTTCAGAGATTAGAGATAAATGCATGTGCCATACAGGTAGTCTTCGACTTACAACAGTCGTTAGTGATCATTCAAAGTATCAACGGCACTGAAAAAAAGTGACTTATGACCATTTTTCACACTTGCAGCACCCTGTTGTAGTATCCCCAGTGTCCTATTATTTATTGTCCACATCCAACTTGAGTATCCAAGTAAAGGTCCAAGATCATTTTTTCCCCCTGAAAATCTTACTGGTTTATTGAATACATAACATGGGAAGGCTGAAGTAAAACTGTGAGTTTCTCACACCTCAGTACATAGTATTAATCAGTTTCCACAACCCACCCACCCCTCCCCAATTTTGCCATGTAGACCAAGTAAACAAGTCCCCCTTGTTATAGGAACTATCTGTCACACTTGCACGCCTGCTATATCTTTCTTGAAAGCTTCCAATTTCTCACAAACTTCAGTGGAACTGTAGAAGTTTCATTTTCGCTAGTTAACCATCTTGTAACTAACACCTCCCCTCCCACTTCCTCTAATGACAAGTTGAAACGATGAGACACGTGGCTGCCAATGTTTCATTCTTGACATTTATATTCAGATGTTTCACAACTGGTTCATATTTATGATGGTTGCTGTGTCCTGGAGTCATGTGACCACTTTTTGCGACATCTGACAAGCAGTCAATGAGGAAGCCAGATTCACTTAACAACCAAGTTACTAACTTAACAACTTCAGTGATTCACTTAACAAATGTGGCAAGAAAAGCCGTAAAATGGGACAAAATTTACTTAACAAATTTCTCACTTAGCAACATAAATTCTGGCTCAATTGTGGTTGTAAGTTGAGGCCTACCTATATATATACCTTTACTCTCTCGAATCTGCAATGGAGATGGTCTGCCCTGGATAGAATCGGAAAGCAAATTGCTTCAGATGTTAGAATTCTTCTGATCTGCCATTATTTTTCAATTAGAAGATATCAAATGTACATTAAGAATGTAATGGCATCCAGAGAGTTCCCCCCCCTTTTTTCTTTAATGTGCCTCTTTATTCCTTCTTTCTTTGTAGAGATTACAAATCCCTTTCTTTTTCTAGAAGTCAGCCACTTTTTTCAGTACTGTTGTAATTTTGAACTGTTACTAAAGGAACTGTTTTGTAAGTCGAGGACGATCTGCATTGTTAAATTGAGCTCTGAAATGTGAAAACGTCTCTCTTTCATTTTGAACTTAGACCAATGTTTCTCAACCTTGACGACTTGAAGTCCTGTGGACTTCAACTCCCAGAATCCCCCAGCCAGCATAGCTGGCTGGGGAATTCTGGGACTTGAAGTCGCCAAGGTTGAGAAACACCGACTTAGACCGAAAGCGTCTGTTAAGGATATTGACGCCTTTGGTTTAGCTAGCGATGCCTTCAGTCTAACATTTGTATCACTACGGTCCGGTCCTTTCCTCGAGTCCTCCGCTCACCTCACTTTGTTGAGGACTCTTGCCAGAATTCTAAGGGACGCCTTTACGGAAAAGAACTTGCGTCACGTCCGACCGTCTCGCGTCACGTGATGATCCCGGGGACTCTAATATGGCGGCGTCCATGATCCCGCCGCCTGCGCCAGTTGAGGGGATGGTGAAATTGAGGTAAAAATGGGTTACTTGTGTGTTTTGGTTCAGTTTCTAGTTTGAGAGTGTCTTGTCTCGCTTTGGAGGTGACGTCATGGTAGCACCGTTTCTTATCCTGAGCTCCCTGTGGTCACTTGTTGCGCTTGGATGATCGGAGTAATCTTTCCTCTGTCATCGAGAAACGGGGGAGCTCTAATTCTGAATTCGTGGCAGTTAACGGAGTAAGAATAAAGGGGACTTATTTTGCAGGAGACAGCAAAGATCTCGTGAGAGATGCAGCAAGTGGCTTGCAGACAATATAAATATAGTTTAGATAACGTGAACT